AATTGACCACTCTATAACCCCCCAATCCAACGACTACATGTAACCATATAACAAATAGTAATCAGTTTTGATTAGGCCATGTAAATGGACAAACATCTGTAGTAACTGCTCATTGGTTAATGTTTGTATTCTGCAATTCATTAGCTCTAGAAAAACACCCAGAAGAACCTTTTGCTACTGTGTAACTTTCACAACTGGCTATAAATAAAGAAGTCATATTACTGACAAAGAATACATTGTATACAGTGTTTCTTTACAGGACTTGTTTTTACTCAAAGTAGTTATTGTTTAACATTTATGTTTCAGACTAAAAAGTACCCTGCAGAATGTGAGAACTGGATCCAGACTTCAAGTCACAGAGCTGTACTTTGGGGCTTTTGGTACCAACTGTAACAAAAGAAACAAAGACAGCTAAAAAACTCCCCAGCATTTGAAAGAACAACAACAAAATATTCTTAGCAATGACAAAAAAAATAGAAGCTAGAAATGAGCTAGTTGCTCATTCAGTCAGAGCAATGCTTCTATTAATAGATTTACATTTTCAATCCAAACAAATTTACCATGTAACAAACAAAATTTAGAAACTGGAGGTAAACAGGACCGTACTTGGGAAACTTAAAAATACCTCTTCAAATATTTTTTTGCTAAACATAGTTAAATTGTGTACATGTAGGCAATACACAGATCTATTTACAAAATTTGCTATATTTGGATCTAATAACCTTTAAATGATAACTTATGTAATGAAAGAATTTAATTATAGCTAAGAATTTTATCCATAAGGAGAAGTGATTGATGCATTATTTCAGAAGAACTAATATGATACTCTCATTGACATCATCCAACTAATGGATAGTATTTTATTTTGCCAGTAAACTTACATCTTATGAAGACTTGATTTATTAAAAATAAGACAGAGTAGAAGAAAAAACCCAACTGAAATATTACTTCCTTATTATTATAAACCTTATCTATTTATCTATATCTATATATATCTGTTTCTTAAAAACCAATACATACCTGCTATTAAACAATGCTTTGTAGCAACTGGAGACATGTGATGGCTATAGACTGTTCCCTCAAAGTGAAATATATCTGCAGGCTGATAATAAAAACAATAAATTAATTACAATGCAAGTATTTTAGCAGAATGTAAATGCTCACCATTATTTTTTCAAGTAACAGTTACAAATAAGACTAATACAAATATTACTATTTTATGTCATTGCATAGTAATGACAACTCTCCTGGTTAGAAGCTAGATCACACAAATATCACAGAGTAAGCCTGTTTCCAACAGTAGGACAACACCAGAGCTCAGAGATGACCCAAGAGACAGACCAAGAAAAGTGACAAATGAGAAGCATGAATGGAAATGATTACAATTATCGAATATTAATAAAAGCTAGTAAATAACAATATGGAAATAATAATATGGAAGTAGAGTCAACAGGAAGAAGGCACTTAAGACTAAGTTTAAAGTCTTTTTTAATTCACAAATACCACACACAATTTTCAATTCCTAAAAAAATAAAACACTTCCATATAAAACTATTATCTGTCTCATGAATGTTTAAAACTAATGGAACATATTTATTTTAATAAACTTAATATTTACTTTAATAAGTACATTTGCTTCCAAGTAAACTGCTTTTGTTATCTCATTCTGAAATACTGCATATGAAAAATCTCATAAAACTGAGTTGTCTGTACTTTCAAAAACACCATTTAGTGGCAGAACAGGTCAATCAGTAACCTTGACATGTACACTGTGTCTTTAAAAGGATGCTCACAGAACTACCAAACTATTTGGAAATTAACTGTTTATGAGAAGATTTGGCAACTGCAAACATAGTATTATATTAAAAAAATAATAATAAAAAGAGCTAAAAATTTGTTCCTTCTTATGTCCTTAGGATGACAGACCTCTTTTCAAAAAATTATTTCACTGTGTGTTAAACAGCAGTCAAATAGTATCAATATAAATCCTGTTCCCTCTGAACATTTACATATAAATGATACTATGAGTCCATGTAAATGTTCAGAGGGAACAGGACAAACTGCAGTCATGAATTCACAGTTCAACACAAGGTGCGAGTCAAAGCAACATAAATCCTAAATAATCTGTTTACCTTATTGTCAGTTACATTGGTCAGCATATTTTTAATGGTTTCTTTCATTCTCTACTGATTTTTAGAAATCGGGTCTATAGTGCTTACAATAGCAGAATTTTGGACCTGGATCCTGCACACCAAGACCACCAGTTCTTCTAAAGCACTGGTTATTAGACACTGGTTACTAAAAATAAGTTACCCTGCTGTACAGTGCCATTAGACTCAACAATCCCCAAGAACAAACTGCAGACTAGTTACCCAGCAAAAATTCAACTAGCTGTATTCCTGTTCACAGCAAAAGCAGAAAGGAACTGTCCCAAGGGTTCAAAGCTCTCCTACTGTTTAAATATTCAGGTCTTCAGAAATGGGAAGGTACACACCAAGGTGTACACAAATGCCAGGACCACATGACCCTGCTGCTGCACCCACAGTTCTAACAAGTGGCTGATTTTCATCTTCAGGATGAATAGTCCTGTTCACCTTTGCAAGAACTTCAGATATGCAAAAAATAAAATGTACACAAAGAAGGTTGCAATCTCTCTTACTTGTAAAGTATTTGTATCCCATATTTTCAAGGTTTTATCAAATGAGCTCGATGTAAACATGCCAGTGTCATGAGGATACCACTGGACTGTCTCCACACTGAATTTATGTACATCAGGATGACTCCTAAAATTAAGGAAAATATTCCAACTGGTTAGTTTTGGTAATCGTCTTGTAGTTGTCTTGGTATTTGATGACAAGTTGAAAACATGAACATTTTTTTAAATTTGTCCTGAGGTTTTCAAGAACTATATTTGTTGGCTTGATTTTCATTCAACTAATACTCATTACTCTGAAGAGCCTTCATTTCAAAAAACCACAGATCATTACCTTTTCAAAATATAGTAACTGTAGCATATCTCAAAACACTCAAAGCATAAAAATGTCTTTTGAAATCTTTAATTTGCAATGTTTACGGAGTTTTTGTTAAATGTGATGACCTAACACTAAAAACTATTTATGCTTGTTGGAAATGGATCCACTGAAAAATACAATCAAACATACAGTTCTAAATATTCATTTGTATTAGAGAATAATTACAGCTACAAAGTTATTGGCAATCCCTGTCTGACAAAGTCACCAGAGAGTAATAGGCTAAGTTACTGAGAGTCATTTATATTTGCATTCAGAAAGGAAAGAGGAAGAACAATAGGAAACTTTAAACTGAACTGTGGATATTTAGAGACTGCAATATAACTAATAATTAACTGTGGCAGAAAGAACAGGCAGCAGAGCCAATCTTGACAGCTCCAGGATACAGACTCAACTGACCAGGCTCTGAATAATACATGTCATTCAAACACCTGGTAGATGACTCATATGTGAGCTGGATTCACAGGGATCCAGCTTCAGGGGCCCAAAACCAGCTGTTTGCTCACTCTACCCTCTGCATTGGGATGAGGGAGAGCAAAGGGTGAAGTTGTAAAAAGTTGCGGATTGAGATAAACACATTTTAGTAAGTGAAATGGAACAAATCAAAACAAACACTATGCCCCTGGGAGAAAGAAAGAAAGAAACAAACAAACAAAACAAACTCCCAACTAATGAAGTGATGCAGAAGTAACCCCTCACCATAGACTTAGACTGCTGCACATCACATTTTATGGTATGGAATGCCAGTATGTCTCCGGTCAATGGGGGTCAGGTGGTCCAGCTGTTTACTCATAGCCTACTGTCCACCCCTTAAAGGGGCAGTGAGGAATGGTAAATGCCTTGACACTAACAAGCACTGTTCAGCACTCACTAAAACATCAGTGTGTTATCAAGACTGATTACAAGCCCAAAACATACTACTATACAAACTACCACGAAGAAAATTAATTCTATCCCAGCTACATGCAGTTCAACTGGCTCCAACTGCAGCTAGAAAAAGGCTCGTGAGATTTCTTTGCTTCAGCTCTTATCTTTGCATTGTTCTATCAAACATCCTGGCCTCCACAAACAATATTGCAAACAGAGATGCAGATCTTCAGTACTGCCATGGGTAGAAGAATATGTACTTCTGGGTGTACATACACCCGGCCTAAATTTGTCTACAACAGCACTGCATGAACACTACCTTTTATAGGTAGGAGTGGATCATCACAAAAGAGAACGAAAATCAACACCTTTCACCTCTGAAAATTAAATTAAAGGAATTAAAGGAGACATCTCAACAGGATGTTGAATTCAAAATAACTAAATGCACGACGACAGTCTTCCACACTGTTCTCAGCTATGTCAAAGTGTAGTGAATTATGCTGAAGGGAAAAAAAACATATACACTTGTTCTTCTAAACATGAGTGTTCACATACGTTTAAAATATCCCATCCAACACTTGTGATCTGTCTTTGAACTTTCAACTGAATAAGGGCCTTCAATTCAAAATTGCTGAAGTGCCATTTTAAAAAACTCAGCCTTCTATCGAACTGTTTCCTCACTCCTATAACATTGGCTCTTCCTTAGTCAAGAATACAGGTCGACAGTGAACGTTATTTAACCCAACATGGTCTCTCAAATAAATTAAACTGTTGATGCAGAATAATGTTTCCACAATCCAATCAGCTTGCTCACTGCTCCTGAAGGTCTCTAACACAGGATGAACAGCATGGCTGCATAAACAAATCCTCACTTCCTCCAGGCAAACCAGGAAGGATATGACTGGCATCCTGGGAACAGGATGGGGAGTTCTAAATGGTGTAGACTCTGACTTATTAAGGAACAAAACTAGCCACAATAAATAGTGACTTAAATAAACTGAAACACCCTCTATGATCTTCCTTTTTTGCTTTGGGAACTCCTATTAATGGTTTCATATTATATTATATTATATTATTTCATATTATATTATCTCAGTGGGAGGGAGTTAATTAAAAAGACCATCAACTGATTACAGATACATTTAGCATAGTCCAAACTTTCTTTAGCTCTTACTTATATCCAAGCTCAACTATGGATGCACTGGTGACAGCTACAATCACAAGGAATGGTGAAGAAATCCTTACTCATTGAAATTCAAGAGGAAATTTGGGATAATGCCATTGAATTTCAAAGAAATGCCAGTTCTGCTGGTACTTAAGTCAATTTTACCTACAATCCCATCAGCAGCACAGACACAGCTTTTGTGTTAACAATACACAGTGCTTCACTATATGATATATACCCAGTCATTGCATTAGGATTAAACCACAACAGAACTACACTCATCTTCTGGAGCCTAGAGTATAGGCCTGAAGACATGGAAATAAATGGGAGACTACCAACGCCAACATGTGCACGGAATGAGAGCAACAAGGATACATTTGTCAATGTAACACCCATCAAAATCCAAGGCAGTTGTCGGGACACCAAGCAAAATATTTCTCATTTTGAGATTCATCCTAATGAAAACTTGGAAATGGTGTATATTAGTAAAGGACACGCTTTTATGAGATCCTCTTGTGATTGTGTGTTTGTGGATAACATTGCTGTAGACACAAATAATCATTCTCATATTTGTGCTATAACTTTACGCCAACATTATGGAATGTAATTTTAGTTAATCAGCTCCTATTGCATTATATTAAAATATTAGAATCAAATTATACTCTGATTCAAGATTGCAGGCTACTCCCACTGGTATGAACGTGCTGCTGGTAAAGAAATTGTTACAGCATGAAGTGCTGAGCTGCTTGTTGAAAACAAACCCCCCAAAAATGGACAACAGACTTTGTTTACTGTCCATCATGATGTGGAAGAAACAAATCACATGATGGAGTAGGTGAAGAAAGTGGTGGGAGACCCTTTTTGGATGGTCACTAAAAGCTACCAGAATTCTCAAAAGAGTGCTTCACCCTGTTGTCATTTTGCTGATGGTAACTCTTTCACATTTTGTTCTAATAATTATATCGTATGTTAAGGTTTGGATAATTATGAAACAATTAGTCTACTGGCTACCCTCACTAGTACCAGATAACTACACACCAGAAATTTATTGGATGATCTGCACTGTATAGAAGTGTGAAACGTTCTCAAATTCTGTTTGGATATTGTGAAGCTTGAGTGAGTAGTCATGGGTTGATTATGTGGAAAGACAGCTGGGGGTAAAATTAGAGGAAACTGAGAAGTTATTTTTACATCCTAACAGAAGCTATAATGATATAGTGAAGTGCAGTTGCTTCTTCTGGATGGAATGTGGTATTACTGAAAGCTATTCCACAATGATTCCCCACACAAACAGCCTGCAACCTCAAGCATCTGCTAATGGGGATGAAATGGGGGGTGGAGCCAAGACACCATGGCCAGGCACTGTTGAAATCTGTGCAGGGAGGGGTATTTTCTATCTGATAAACTATATAGCACCTATCCACCAAGGAAGACAGGAGATACCTTGCTGTTGAACCAGCAACTGTCGTGAAATCACTCTCCTTGCATGAACTCGGTTCATTATCATCTAATTGTAATACTAACAGAGACCTCCATCCTAAAGTTCAGAATCACAGAATATTCTCAGTTGGAAGGCAGACACTAGGATCATCAAGTCCAACTCTAAAGTGAATGGCCCATATGGGAATCAAACCCACAACCCCTAGCATTATTAGCACCATGCTCTAATCAACTGAGATAACCTCAAGTTACCCACCTCCAGAGTAAGATCACCCCTCATCGAGCAAGTGCTCTGCACTTCATTGACTGTATCTTTAAGAGCAAAGGGAGAGAATTTTACACCAGTCAGTAACAGAGGAATAGTACCTCAAGCTCCAACTAAACATAATGGAATAGTTTAAAAGTAAGTCAAAAATGGTGAAGTTAGGGAAGATTCCTTTGTAACTTCTGGGATCAGCCAACAAGGTGATCTGTCTTCTTCCCCAGAGGAATGCCTGTTAATAAGAACCTTACTCTATGTGTGTTGTATTAGGGATTAAATCTTGTCTATACATTGGTCTGAACATGTTTTTGCAGTCAGAAACAATCACTCGCAGGCCTCAAACCTGAACTTGTCACAATTTTCTCTTATTGATAGAGAATGTTATTCCTAAACTAGAGTGATTCCTTCATGGACACTGGCACTCAATGGCAGTGGGTAATATACTTGAATAAACTGGGAAACCTCTCTTATGCTGTTGGTTGTGTGTCCCTGAACAAGTCAGTTGAAACACCCTATGACCCAGCAGTGAAGGGTCCCTGTAATAGGGTGCTGAGGGGCTGGCTGGACACAAAGGTGTCAGCTTTCCCAGGGGACTGATAGGCTAATCTAACACTAGGGTTTGAGGAAATCTTCCTTTTTCACATGACATCTATAGATCTGATTTTCATCTGAGCTAATAAACCTTTCTGCTCACTTGGGTTGCTACAAGGCAAAAAAGACACCTTTAAAGAGAGTTAGCCTGAAGAGAGTATCACTTACAATACTGAGAGATACTGAGCAACTTTTGAGCTTAGTTTAATGGCTTCTGCATTGCGCTTCCACCACTGAGGCATATCCTAAAATGCCCTGTTACTCTGGTACAGTGCTAAAAGTCAACAGACTTCATGCATCTACCTACTCAGAGCGGCATGCTGGTTTCAGCTGCAGTAGAATCAATTTTCTTCATAGTGCCTAGCATGGGATACATTTTGGATTGTGATAATCAGAGCTGGTAACATGGTAACAAAATATGCCTTTGTTATTGCTGAGCAGGGCTAACAGAGAGCCAAGGTCTTTTCTGCTTTTCAGGCTGGTGAAGGCATTGGGAGTGTCTGGGAGGTTAGAAGGAGACACAGCCAGGACAGGTGACCACAGATGACCAAAGGGATATTCCAGACCATATAACATCAAGCTCAGTATATAAAGTTGGAATGAGAGCATTTGTCTTCCTGAGTAACCATTATGTGTGATGGCACTCTACTTTCCTGGAGATGGCTGAAGCAGTGAATTAATTGCTTAGTCTGCTTGCATTTGCAGCTTTTGCTTTCCCTATTAAACCATATCAAACCATAAGTTTTCTAGCTTTTACCCTTTTGATTCTCTCCTTGAGAATCTGGTAGGGGAGTGAGCAAGCACCTGTGCAGAACTTGGTTGCTGGCTGGAGTTAAACCATGGCAAGTTAAAATCTTTCTTACCTGCAGAGCCAGGAAATCAACCTTGACTAAGAGTGAGCTTACTCCTCGAGAGGCATTTCTATGCACTGTGCAGAAAAATTTAAAGCCACAGAACTAATTATCTGGGTACAGTAACCGTAAGTGCACTGTGCATGACTGGACTGTCATCAATTATGCACAAGGACAATCATAATTCACAGGGCTAAGGAATGAACTAATAAACTCTTGAGTAGCTCTGAAGGAATCATCTTTGATCTGGCTAAGCTTACTAGTGGCTACATGTCATTCAGCCTAGTTTCATGTCTCAAGATGTACATTATCCCCCGTTCATTCTATATAAAGTATTTTCATCCATTACTCAAAATATCCAAGCCTTTTCTACCAAAGACAAATACAGAATTAATTCTATGGATAATAGGTCACTGTCATTCATCCTTCCTAGATACGTTTTGAGTAGTAGAAACTACCTTAAAGATAAGCATTATCTGCATATTATCTAGAAACTGGTACTGTTTGGTTACTCTCAAATGCTGGTTTTTGTCACAGGACAGCATGAATTATATGAAACCAGGTAAAGTTCTCTATGCTGACTCCCAGGAAAACAGGGAAAGTTTTATTTTTATATTTGCAATAGTGGTCCTATATTCTAGATGAGAAACAAGGGGTAAATCACAGCCTACCAGCAAGAATTCTCTCTTTTGTTGTTCCATACTACTGGATCATCAGCAAGCCCAGTTCAGGGTCTATTCAGAAATAGGCCCCTAAAAAGGGCCTCTAGCAGGAGCTTATCCTTTAAGCAACTTTGAAACCAGACCTGTGCTCTGCCTTGCAAACCTGGAAGACAGTCAAACTTTCACAGCATGTCAGCACTATATCCTTCAAAGACAGGAGCTAGACAGTCAGAGGGAAAGTACTTCTGTAGGATAAGTTCATTTATTAAGTCAGGAACTCTGAAAAATGTTCCAAATGGCTGAGGATATATATAAACTGTAGCTAATTACTTACAGTAAGTATTTATTTATGCCTCGAGTGATAGGAAATAAAAGACACATCTATGCAAATTAACACCTATTCAAAAAACAGGCAACCAACTAACCATCTTCTTAAACAGAGTCTTCAAGGATGGAATATTTCTACTGACCTAACTGAAGTTAATAATGGCCTGATTTTAGCACAGATTTGACAGCTTTTACATTGAGCCTTCTTAGCATGAATTTCTTCAATTTGCTGCATCTGTTTCAGAATTTATTTCAGTTTTGAGATTTGGGGGTTTGGGGATGTATAGTAATTATATATTCTTAACTACAATTTAAAATACTTTTGTGCAAGAAGCCCAGCCATCAACACTTGTTCTGTTAGCTATCTTCTAGCAGCCTTTTTCTTTCTTATGATCCAAGATATTATTAAGGCCTTTTGTTGCTACAAGTCTGTTCTGTTCTTATACACCTGACTCATGAAGACTCTGACTCCTAGACCTCAAATAATTTGTAGACTGAGAAAAAATAAGGGGAAAATGCAGCTACCAATCTTTTATGAAGTAGAATATCTCTTACTGTGAGTCTTAGGTGAAGTTATAGCCTACTACACAAGGTTATTATCCAAATAAAGGAAAAAACAGCTTTTGTTAGAAGATTTAATGTCTATAATGGAAAAATTTGTATTGCCTGCAGAAACAGCCTGACAAATCAATAAAGGCTTTGACTCTTTATAAAGATTACACACAGCACGGCAGTTCTTTAGAAAAATACATCCTATTTTTTCAGTAACACATCTGTCTTCATTTAAACATGTTCTTAAGAAGTTTTGTATAAATCATTTCTGTACCTGCTGAACACCTGACAAACTAAAAACAGCTACTAGTAAAGCTGGAAAGAGAAAGAGGGAAATAAACAACTGCAAATAGGTATTAGATTATTTTCCAAACAGATGAAAAGGATTATGCAAATAATTGCATAATTATCTTGTTTAAAAGCATATTTAGTCAAATATACGTACTAAATATCTTTGGGGAATACAGGGAATATTTCTACAGCAGTACCTAAACTTCTTTCTCAGTTACTGGCATAGAGGCATCAAATTTCAACATGAAACAGTAAGAAAACTCACAGGTGAGAAATCATGAGTTAGAGGAAGGTTTGGGTTTTTTTCCCCAGTCGTCTTTTTCTAGTGTTAAAATCTGAGGTTAGAGTACTAGGTCTGACTAATTTTTGTGGTACCTACAGCAACATAAGACTGTCTAACTTCAGTTTCCATATAAGTACAATTGATACCCTTCATTTTAACTTTTGAAACTGCTACAGAGTTGCGCAAACAATTCCAGAGTCACTGTGCATATATTGTAACTATTAGACAAGACAAATCAAGAAGAAACAATTAGCTCCTGCTACTAGCCATCAGAGATTTCTGGCAGTAGTTTTAGCTTAGAAATAAGAACAGACATCTGTTTACAAGTTTAATTCTAGCCACACGAGCCGTAACATATAGTTTTAGAAGACTTTCAGAGTTCTTACCTTCCGACAGAAAAAAGTGCTTTACATGTATAACTTGGTTTCCTGCTCAAGTTTTCAAGGTCATAAAGTACAATAACGCCATCTGATCCACCAGATAACATGCTGAAAGTGTTCATAAAGCACAAAAGTTAAAACGCTCATAATCTCAATATGAGCAATATAATAGTGTTCAACAAGACACAAAATCCATAGTACCAAAACACAATTAATTACTTATGTACATTTTTACCAACCGAAGTATATACTTACTATCTTCCCTCAACAGGCTCAATATCAAGGGTGTTGATACCACTTCCGTGTATTCTTTCCACATCTCTATCTTTATTTAATTCCAAACTTAGAACCCTAACCACAAAAAAAGAAAGAGAGATGAACAATAGGAACAGAATTATTAAATGCTATTATGTAGCTCTGAACAGCTGAAACCTAGTTTCATGCTTCCTCAATGTATTTAACTCATCCTTGCTATTTTTTTCAATAACACAGAGATAGAAGTAAGTCTTGTGAAGTTGGCAGAAAAAAATACTTTGTTGTTTGGAAGGTACGAGAGAAATAAATACGTAAAACAGGCTCAAAGAAAAAGCAAAATTGCATTTGGGGTCAACATATTAAAAAACCCTAGGATGTAATTTAAAAACACTAAGAAAAAGAAAAACTAAGAAGCCTGTAATCACAAATACTGGCTACTTTGAAGCTCCATCATGTAGCATCCTTTTAGGCTTCATCCTGCTAGGAACTACGGACACCTAGTGGACAAAGTAATTTAGTTTATCAAGGTTACAGTATTTCCTTTAATGCAAAGTTTGTATGCTACATTTCCTGCAATAAATAAAAACTAGAGTACCCCCAATGATGAAGCTCCCAGGACAACCTTTCTGACCTGTAATTTTTAGCTTGTATTTTTGAATACATTAATACTGCATAGTCCAAAAAGAGAATCTGCTTCATTAAATCATACTACCTAATATAAAATTTAGCCTTATAACACAATCACAGCTTCCTACAGCACCATTTTGTACAAACCACAACAAAAACATAGCTAAGCAGGTAACTGAAAAGTTGTGAGGCAGAGTGCCCCTACTCAGCTTCAGCTTAAGGGGAAAAAATCCTGATATGAGAACCATAGGCTGCTACAGCCAGGTCCCCAACATCAAGTCTGTACACATGCTATAAAAGCAACAAATCATTTAAGCTGTCTTAAACGATGTGAAATATAATCATGCAAGAATTCACCTAGAATAAGAATTCTGACATATATAAGATCCCCAATTTAAAATCCTTTAGCTCCAGATGGAATTTTAGGAAGCAAGAAATCCCCCTGTGGAAATGTGTTAAAACCTACGACTTCAAAATGCAGCTATAAATAAAATGCACTTAAGACTAGAGATTTCTTTTTTAAGTCAAATTTAAAAAGTTTAGGAAAAGAAATGCTAAGCGGACAATTGTTCAAGTAAGGTTAAGTCTGCCCAGTGTGTTACTGCTCTTAACGCTGTGTGCTACATGCGTGCTGAGGGCATAGAAGGACATAACTGTGTAGTCAAAACACACGCAGAAATAAGTTTCGTGAACTACCAAAGTTCATTTCCATTTTAATTATTTGTTTTACAATGATACAGCATCATAAAGCCATAAATCACCAACACAGATCCGGAAGTTGTGTAACCGAACTAAGGTAGGTTTTATTGGATTTATCTTGAAATATATCTGCAAAGTAGATTCTCTGATATTGAACAAATATCACATTTTATAACCTTTAGCAGGAATATCAACAAATCCGTCTATGCTGCCACCACTTCCCACAAAAACTACTAAGAATACTCCTGCATCTGATTCTCCTTCAACCTGCCAAAAGGCCAGGTTTGCGAAAAGGAAAGACGAGCAGATGAGAGCACAGGAGCATTACGAGCACTTGCTTCCCCACAAGCGGAGCACAGCCGCACGCAGACTGAACCCCCTGGAGGAACCGTGCCGACAGCAAGGGCAGTAACTCCGAGGGGCAGGGAGGGAGGCACAGCTTATTGCGCTGCGCACACTCCGCCCGGGCTGAGTACAAGGTACACAAACACCAGAGCTGCTGAGCCACCCGTGCCACCACAGCCCCGCGGGGCACCCCGAGACGAGGCGTGCGGGCACGCAGCTCCCCCGCCCCGGGCCCCGCTCACAGGGCAGCTGCGGCAGTGCAGCCCTTCACCCCGCCCTGGGCCGCCCCAGTGCGGGCCGGGCCAAACGAGACTCCGCGGCAGGGCGGAGCCAGGAGCTGCCGCTCCGGTGCCTCTCCGCGCAGGGATACCCGCCCCGGCCCCGGTACCTCCGGGTGCGCTCGGCCCGGCGCAGCCGCGCGGGGTCGTCCAGGCCGGCCTGGCGAGCAGCCATGAGCCCCAACATGGCGGGATGGCCCGGTCCGCTCTGCACCGCGCCGCCATTTTGTGGCGGGCGCTGCCGGGATTGGCTCGGGGCGGGCCGGCTCCCACCAATGGCCAGCGGCGTAGCTGGCGCGCCGGGCGCCCATAGGCGGGATCGGACCGGGCAGGGCGGCGCTGCGCACCGGCAGGCGCGAGGTGACGGCGCCGAGAAGCGGAGCGGGCTCCCTCTGTCCCTGGGTCCCCGGGTCCCTGTGTCCGTGGGCGGCGGTGGTGCCGCGGCCTTGCCGTCGGGATCCCGGCATGAGTCGCGCCTGGCAGGCTCTCCGCGCTCTGCGGGTGCGGCTCGTGGGGCCTGCCAAGGAGCTGGTGGGCACCGACCAGTTTGGTAACAAGTACTACCGGGTGCCCAAGCACGAGAGCCGCGCAGGTACGCACCGCGGTCGCGCCAGCGGCTGTAGGCGGGCGCGGGGGGAGCCGTGCCCTGCTTGGCCCCTCAGCCGCTCACCGCTATCCGCTGCCGGCAGGGCGGCTGGACGGCCGCTGATAAAAAATTACAGTGGCTGAACAGTAGCGCGAAACAAAGTGCCGCTCCTCGGGAAACACGCGCGGGTTTCTGGTGCTGTAATGCCAGAAAAACCGTAAAGCCGCTCTCTGGAGAGTTTCAGAGCTCAGCCTGTAATAGGTAGGTAGGCAGGCAGCAATTATTTGCTCTTCTTGGTAATTCGGAGCGCTTCTGCATAAGCTTATAAAAGCTAAAGTCCAGAGAAGCAGTGGAGCTGGGAAGGGTCTGGAGCACCAGTGCTGTGAGGAGCAGCTGAGGGAGCTGGGGGTGTTTATCCCAGAGAAAAGGAGGCTCAGGGTGACATTATCACTCTTCACAGCTGCATGACAGAAGGGCGTAGCCAGAGGTCGGCCTGCGGTCTCAGGCAACCAGTGACATGACTAGAGGAAATGGCCTCAAGTTGCACCAGGGGAGGTTCAGGTTGGAAGAATTTCTTCACGGAAAAGGCTGTTAAACATTGGAACGGCCTGCCTGGAGAAGTGGTGGAGTCACCATCCCTGAAACTCTTCACGAAACAACTGGATGTTTTGTGACCAGCATTTGTTTAAACCACTTAGTGCTGTGGTTTAGTTGACATGGTTGTGTTTGGTCATAGCTTGCACTTGGTCTCAGAGGTCTTTTCCAACCTAACTGGTTATGTAATTTCTGTGAAATTAATTCTTACATGTGCATTTATTCCACTCATAGAAAATACTTTTCTAGGTTTCTGCCCATGTTCCACGAGTCCAGATGCCCTTATGGTCTATGGATATGCTGCATTGTATAGTTCATGGAAGGCAGGTTCCCTGAAGATGGCCAGGTGCATATGCTAAAATGTTTTACAGTCCTCTTTCCTGGACAGCCTTTATCTGCTCACTGTGCTCCAGATCTTGTATGACTGCATCAGGTAGAGCATCCTGTGAATGCTTTTTATTCGTTATTCTGCAGAGAAGCAGAAGCAATAAGTCTGAGTCTGTGCAGTTACTTAATCAGTACACCTTCTCTTTAGAAACACGTAATTTTTGCTGGAGTCATGTTCCCTTTAGAACAGTTCCCCTGACCTGTTTTGCCGTACAACTTCCTGAACACCTGATAGTGACTTAAAGCAAGTGTCAAACAAGAATCTGGGAAGAGATTGTGAGCACCCTTTTTTCAGTAGTGTGGTTTTTTTCAGGGTTGATATGCTGTTGTAGTTAATATGATTCCAGGTTTTCTTGCTCTTGCTTTTAACTTTTGGTCTTCTCACTGCTGGGATTCATGCTGACTTTGAGGAGTCTTTGTCTCCTCGAAAAAAGGCTCTGTCTTTTAGCAGCAAGAAACAGTGAAAAGTACAGTCAGATTTCTTCTGTATGATTGCTGCAGTGTCAGTTCCTATTAACCAGTTAAAATTACTACTTCTATCAGACATACTGGTAGTTTTCTTCTTGACATTAGAACCTATGACTCTGATTTTCTGTGTATTTCTTTCTGTGCTTTAGCTTGAGCTAAAAAAAACCCTCAATCACTCAGCATCAGCAAATGACAGAACCCTGATAGAAGTAAGCATGCCTTCTGCTAACAACGAAGACATTTATGTGATTTTTTTAAATGAAAGTGTTCAAATGTTGTTTTTTATTCTGTTGATTTATCCTATGTTACAGTAGTTGACAGTACTCATTATTAGACATTATTGACCGTGAGATGTGGGTTTTAACCTTAGTCATTAAGGAGAGAGGGAAATAAGTAAAATGAAAGCAGCATCAGCTTCAAAAAATTCTGAAAACAGATAGGAAATACTCCGTGAGTGTCTTATGAAGAATCAGTGAAAACTCACATAGGACGTATCATAGTTGTACCTCTTCCAGTGGTTAAAAGTACAAGTACAGATTACCCTAATGTGGATGAAGATCAGGAAGTATAGCAATAAATTAACTGGGCTAAATAATAAGTTTTTAGTGACCATAAAAGAAAAATCAGACCCTCCCTGAATCATCTTAACTGGTATGAGTGCTGGAAAACTAGAGGAACAAGTAATATCTTTTAAGTATATTCACAAGGTAGTGAGTGAAAGCTGATATGAAATTAACGGTTTGAGAAGTTAGGTTAGTATCAAATTTTTTTCTTCTTGGACAATACTTCAGTGTTTTTTGGATCTTTTTGTGTGGTAAATTTAAGAATATGAGCTATGAATTTGCTATGCAGGTACATGACAGACTAGCAATTATTCTTGGAATAGTCTGAAATGCTGCCCTGTCAGATGCAGAGAATCCACCACCTGCCTGTTAAAGGCAGAACTACTCAAAAGTTTTTTACAAGGCATGTGGATGAAGAAAAATAAACTATTTTAATTACATTTGGAGGTCAAACTGTGCAGGAGGAAATGGGAAGTAGCTGTGAGTATCTCGTGGCAAGTCATTGTCATACAATTCAACTAGGGGACTGGCTGGAATCAAAACATACCTGTTTATAAAGAAAACATATAATTTATTGGTTAAAGGGTTCTGAGAACATGGATCTACACAACTGAGAAGTTATCTGTAGTACAGCATGTATCAAAGTACTGTGCTGTTAGAAATTTCAGTTCTGTGACCTCTAAATTTGGATACCTATTTTCTTCCTCCGTTTCCAGCTGACAGACTGTCATCCACTTTCCTTACCAGATGGACTTCCTTATGAATGTTCATTACTGTTTTAAGATACAGTTCTCACTGACCTTTGTTTTTTAGGGTTACTTGGATGTAGGAGATTCTATTTCCCCACACACTGGTAACTCATTTTCACTGTAATTTATGCCTTTACTTCTGTGAATTTAACATCCTTGCAGTGACAGTATAGAAAATATACGATGTTTCATCTATTCCAGAGCAGGAGAGTATGCCAGTTCTCCCTCAGGCTTGTGGCTGAGGAGAAAAGTCATTCTGACACGAGTGAAGTGATTACAGATGGTTGTGCCCACTGTCATGGGTGGTGGTAACTAACTGCCACTCGCAAGATTTTTGAGCAGCATCCTGTGCTATACAAGCAGGGTCACACCTGGCATTTGTGGGCTTTTATAACTTTGTGAAGAAATTTAAAGATATGGATGGTGAAGGTAATAGAAATTGGGGAAGGTCTATAGAAGTTAAAATGTACACAGAAAATTTCTGACAGTTTTAAAAATAAACTAGGAATTTAAAAATGCTGAGAAAGCAATGCTCTCTTTTCAAGTGTTGTACATTAGGAAGACCTGCTGCATATATAATTCATGGCTCCCCCAGTATCCTAAACATATAGAGACTAGTGCAGGATTGGACCAACACTAGAAAGAAAATGAACTGTAGAGGAAAGCAGTGAGATGTTGTGTGCAGGTTTCACTGCAAGGTCACTACAGTGTGTCTGCACCATGCTTTGCTGTCTGCCCTATGGATTTAGGGAAGACTGAGTAGCTCTGTCACAGTGCTAGGCCTGATGTGCTTGATCCCTTTGTACTGTACTGAATCAAATATTGCAGAGAGTGCAAAACAGACAGGTCTTGCATTCTCTGTCTTTGCTTAGACAGGGTAGGTCTATCAGGACATGCTGGGCTTTATTTCAGGCAGACATCCCACCTTAAGCTGGAGGTGAGAGTCAATAGTGTAGGTAGTGTCTATGCCACCTTCTGCTTTGACTAAAAGCCGTCTGACACCTTTCTTTTGGCCTGCTCTGGTCTTTGGCAGGGGTTTGGAATAGAAATAGTAGACCGTGTGATGCAAAGACTTAATGTTTTCTTTCTGTTAGTTGTGATTTGTGCTCTTCTATACTGAACTCAGGGTCCAAAACGCTTAACCTGAGGCCTTGTCTATAGTAGTAGAGCAGGGAGTAGTAGAAGGAGGTCAATGTATACAAGTGGTTGATGCTGAGTTTCCTTATATCTCCAGCATCTGTGATTCAGAGAGTTTGCTTCTTAAATTTAGTCTGTATTCCAGGACTGAGTATCTGCAATATAGACTCAGAGGGGTACAAAATTTTTAGGTATATGGTGCAGGTACGGCTTTTACATTGTCACAGCACCTAATATGCTGTTATTTTTTGAAATGTTTTATAAATGAGGACTTCTTCTTTAAAAAGCAAGTTATGAACTCAAAAATTACTTTGAGGTACAAATCAGCACATGCTAAATAAAGGCAACAAAGGATTAACTACAAAATCACACTTGCTTTGATTCAAGTCACTACAGTAGATGTAGTCTCATCAATATCCTAAGGCCTTGGATGTCCAGGTCAAACTCAAGGTGTGTAGCAGCTTTATGCTGAGACCATCTTTACTTCTGTCATCATAGAAATGCTACCTGCATTCCTGATTTTGCGTGTCTCTGAGTGATCAGATCCGTCAGAGAAGAGCCAATAACTTGAATGGGTTTTGTTGGGATGAAGGGAGTAATTGTGGAGATTAAAGAAGTGTCGGTGATGTGTAAGTGCTAATTTTAACATGTGTTTTGCCTTCATTCAAAGTGTTCTAATGAGTAATAGCAAAAAGATATGAGTTAGCAAAGTGTTGCAATTCTCTGGGGTGAATATAGAAAGGATTGGCCTCTTGAAGCGGAGGTGAAGACAGATGTAAAATAATACTGTTTCAGTCTGGTTGTCTTATTTCTCTTGAAAAAGAGAAAGTGAATGTTTAAAGTACCTAGACTGTAAGAGTAAGCAGTCATTAGATTCATTAGCGAAATTAATGGTTAGAAATAACAAAAGAGTTAAGAAAAGTTTGAGTGCTAATATGGAGGGAAAAGATCCTGTGAAAGTAACTGTACTGTTAACAGGAATATGGGAGAACTCAAAATTAGAGTAGGTAATTTCCTGAAATCCTGGAACTTGAGACAAGATACACTGTTTAATATTTATCAAGAACTTTTATCTTCAAGTAGGGAAAAAACTATCATCTTGAAAGTC